GAAATGCAGTGAGCTGGCATGAGTAATAAAGTCCCCGTGGATTATGTTCAGTGTATGTAGCGAAGAGAAATCACCACTGCTCACATGCAATGTATGTGCTGCACACTGGCATCGAAGCTTATAGTGGTCAATTTTTGCATCATTGGATTCTCAAAATATTTTCAATACAATCTGATTACTCCAATTTCAATTTATTGACAATCAGCTTTTAGCCAAGTAACTCATCACAATTACACGTGATTAAAGGTGTCAAGCCCTTTCTTATTAGGCAATGTAGATTTCCTTTACGGTACTGATATATAAAACACATGGCATTTGACAAAATATCAATAATATTACTATACGCTTCCTAGCAATCAGATTGAATACGTGCGGAAAATCTGTCCTATAGATATCGCATTTCAGTGCTGCACTGGAACTCCTTAAATTGCAATCACGCAAATATGCATATCTCAAATCTGTGTGAAAGTTTAATTCCCAAAGAAATGGTAGATTGATGTGAGCATTCTATGATGAATGCGTATGCCTCCTGAAGAAATCAGATGTAGTGTGGCAACAATGTGTTGCGCTTGGACTCCTGGAACTTGATGTCCAAATCCCAAGTGGACTCTTTATGCGGAGCCAAAGGGATTCAACCAAAAATACGAAATTGAAACACATGTGAGCTGATACCTGCAAAAGCTGTGTTGCCTTTCTCAAACGCGGGTCGCCGCGAGAAAGGTACTTGCACAGAATGCTTCCAATTCCGCCGTTGTCCGCACAACTGGGAGATTTCCTTGTCGAGTAATTCTGCCGCTGATAAGGAATCAACCGCACAAGAGCCATGCTGGTTCGCGTCAAAGCTCTCACACCTTGCGGTATTGTGGTCATTTCCATTCCCGAGAAGTCCAGTATATCGCATTTCCATTTTTTTGCTTCACGCACACTGGTGGCCCTGCCGCCCTTGGGGCCCTCGAAGTCGTCGCCGATGTAAGCGGTCATCGCTTCGTGTGGGGGCGAAGGGCCCCGATCTAGAAATTCCTGCCGACAGCCAGCGCTTTGGCATGACCCTAATTCCGAGCGACCATTGCGATCTCAACACGTCTGGGCGCCTCGGAAACCTGTTTGCAAATTTGAACAGAAATGATCATTGAATAAACGAGTCGATTCTCTTATGTTGACGGTCAATGTCGAACAATTTCATCAGGCTGGGATTGAATTTATGGCAGAGACGTGCTTTACATGAGCGGGGTCTGCCGAGAGGGCGGTGCAGCTTTGCTTTCGGACACTCTCTCTGAGGCTTTGCTGGTATATTGGTCAATTTTGCAGTGAAGAAACATTGGACACCACGGGAAAAGGGGGCGTCCGAGCGGTTTCCGAGCGGGTCGGACGCGTCCGAGCGCGCCATTAACACCGTCCGAGCGCACCAAAAAGCGTCCGGAGCGTCAACGCGTGAGCAAAGTGTCCGAACGCCAACAAAAAGCGTCCGGAGCGTCAACGCGTGAGAAAAGTGTCCGAGCGCCAACAAAAGGTGTCCGGAGCGTCCGAGGGCTCGGAAAATGGAAAATACACGGGCGAAATTTTCGTCCGCGCGTGGCGCGGACGCATCGGACACTCTTCCTGTGCACTCGGACACTTTGTGCGCGGACACTTTTGTCGTGCGCGGACGGTGGCCTAGAGGGGGGGGACGGTGTCCGGAGAGTGCGCGGACGGTGTCTGCGGAATGGGTGGATTTGCTGCGACGGTTTTGATTCTTTTCTGGGTGTGTGGGTGGTGTGTGTGTGGGGGGTGGGGGTGGGGGGGTGGGGGGCGCCAGTTGTCCCCCCCTGCTATTTTTTGCGCTGCGATGCTGTGGTGGCGTGCGGCTGTGTGAGGGCGCGATCCATCCCCCACTGGATTGGTTTGGGTGCTGGAGGGCAGGTGGCCCCCCACGCGTTTGGTTTGTTCGGCAGTGGCGGCGGGCAATGCAAGGTGAGGATCGGGGATCTTCCACCTCTGGAAATCGGGGCACTTGGAGAGCCTGCGCACAAAGCGCTCAGAAACCGTTAGTTTTTCTACCGCTCCGGAGCGGTAGCTCGATGCGGCTGTGCGCTTTCCAAGTTACAACCGCAACTGAACTGCATTGTTGTTGGAAGTCCCTACTGCCTAAAGCTTCCCAAAAGCTACTGAGGATATCTGCTAACGGATGAATAATCAATGGAATCATTGATGATTCCCTTGAAGGAACCCTCCAAGGTTTGCGTCCAGCCTTGCAATCTGGCCTCGAGAATGAACTACATTTTGCATGCCATTCACTCAAGAAATATTACGCCAAAAGTCTCACAAGTTGCCGGGCCACCTGCGGAAATGTACGAGAAGAGCCATTAATGCAGTCAATGTAAAAAAGAGAGTTTTCTGTCATAGCAATGACTGTCGAAAAAGGAACAAACAGCACTTCTTGCGAACACATATACATACATCTTATCAGTGTTCTGCATGCTAAAGACACGCAAACAACCCAAACCCGTAACCTTTGTACATGTTTGGACGCGCGTTATGTGACCTTTTTTCCTAGTGAATGTCACAGAAATTTTGCCAGGTTTTCCGTCTGGTCATCTTGCAGGAACGTTTATTCCTTTGCGTTACACTTTACAGGCTGTCTTGAGGATTGGCAAGTCGCTGAGTACAACATGGGATTCGGCAATGTTTCTCTGACCAAGTTTAGCAACAATACAATTCCTAACATTGTGTTTTGGTGAGTCGTTGATTGGAAATGACTTAGTAAGCGAAATTGAAAGCTGGTGGATGCTTCCACAGCTTCCCATAATTGGCTGATTGAATGTATAATCCCACACGCAACGTTTGAGGTCCTTTACATACAAGCAAATTGTTTTTCTTCACTCTCGAGCTCTATCATGCGCACATATGTGTGTTGCATGCCCACGACCAGCTAAAAGACTCTGGGTGTGCATCTGTAGATTCCAATTAAAAAGCAACCCTTTCATTCCCCAATAATCGAACGTAATGTACACTCTTTTCTGACATGCTCCATGTACTGGCGCAATACCACAAAACAAATTCCAACACCAGTCGATGTGCTTTGTACAATGTGCCTGTCTTCAAAGCCTATCTATGGGCACAGAACACCTACATTTCTGTGTCCATAGACGCGCTTCCAAGGCAATCAACAGACTACGCTTTCGCCTCATATGCAATTTTCCGGGCCTGATGGAATTCCGCTAGTTCTCTATCTCGTTAGGGCTGTTGTGCTGATGCATTTGAATGATCTGCGATGGAGGGAAACATGGAAAGACCAAGCCATTTTTGCTTTGGTGAAACAAAAAAAATGCTGTTCAATTTGTCTACGCAAGCACAAGCCAGTGCCTACATTTGCTCGTCTGGGCACTTGGAAGGCTTTAGGATACACTCAAACCAAGCAGGCATAAACTAAATTGTTTCATTAGGCATCAAGGTCATCACTCAAAAATGCCTATTAGGGACAAGGCTTGGTCTTTATGTTTACGTTTGCGCTTTCGCGTTTACGTTTTTATGCATAAAAAGGTAAATTTGCGAAGGGGGCTATTTGTACGGGTATTATTACCTTTTTATGGCTCATTGGGACATACAGGTTACATGATGACAGTCGAGAACAATAATCAGTCTTCCGCCATCTCCAGCACCAGCAACACAGTGCTCATCTCCACCACGGCAAGGGCAACGACAACATGGAACAAAAGTTCATTTTCTACGCATTCCAGCGTGTCTGACTGCCACTCCCCGGGCTCCCCAAATCTGTATGTACTGTCCTTATGTACACGGGGCTGTATTTACGTTGTATCCACGTATTTTACGTGCTTTTACATGCAAAAAACGTAAAAACTAATTTTGCACATAAACATAAACACGATTTGTTTTTACGGTGAAAAACCAAGCCTGATAGGGACAGCAAAGAGCTGCCCCAAGGACATAGGAAATGAAAAAAACTTGCTAATTGATCTTGCACGTGCAATGCTTTCAATTGCACTCGTTGGTTGTGCACCATTTTGGTGGTGGAAGTCGCAGGCTTGAAATAGAAAACCATTCATGGTCTTGAGGTCCCTTCCCGGGGGGGGGACTCGTGATGAGATTGCAAGTGCATGACAATCTGTATTTAAGTCAAAAGCTGCCCATCCGCCTATCCATCACCTGAGGGCCACAATCCTATGTGGATGGTATTTAATTTGTTGATTGATCAGAATTCTGCCTCTTAACGTTCAAGAGCTTTTCCCTTGAAATAGGTGAGTCGCAATGGCGAAAAGCCTCGTGGGACCCTCCGCCTCGCCTGTGATCGCCTCCCTGCATTCAAAGCATGCAACCACCGATGGATCCGTTAATTCATTGGCCCAACAACACATGGTAGTCGCCAAACCGCCCAATCAACCACCTGCATTCTGACGGCCCACCCGTTCTCCCAACCCCTGTGGGACATCGCTCCGCCTGTGGTGGTCGCCACCGACGCAGGTGGATGGCGGCTCAGCCGACACGACCGCAAATCGCGCCGCAAGCGGCAGGCCCAACGCGACGCCGGCCGCGGCGTCCGCTTGTCCGACAGATCGGCCCGCGCCGAGCGCGCGATCGCGTTGCCCACCCGCAAGCATTGCCGTCCTCCTGCGATTGATCCATTCCGCCTCAGGCGCACATGTCCTCCCGTGCCTGTTCGTCGCCTTCGCTTCATTTTCATTCGTGTCGCCCGCAGGCCTCCCCTGCCTCTGCGGCTGTCGCCATCGGCCCCGGAGCCTGCACGCCATTCGCGCTGAGCGTGGCTGATGTGGAACGTGGTAGGCGGCATCCTGGCCGGTGCGGTGGTGCTGGCCCTGGGGCAGCGGTACATCGAGGGTTTGATGCGCGGACGGGGCGGCCAGGAGCAGAGGGACACGGCCACCGGCGATCGCAGGCAGCTGCCCAAGCGGGCTGGCCCCACGGTGGGGGAGGTCCTGGACGCCGCGAGGAAGCTGGCGGGCAAGGCCAAGAAGTGAGGTCCACGCAGCGTGACGTCCCTTTCGATGTCGTGGAGGGCGGGCTACGTGGGGGCGGTGAGCTCTGGGGTTGTTTGGAGCGCGGCCGCCCCCAAGTCGCCCAAGGTGGTGGTGAGGAAATCCCCAGGATGGCACCCCCTTGTGGCTGGGTGTGGATTCCCGCAGAGTCGGTGCGGGAGAGAACTGTCTGCCGCGTTAACATTCCAACCATCCCCTTTCCTCCAGTTGATTGGGAGGCATAGGATGGCATTTGGCCCAGCAAGAGCATTGGGGACTCAGGCTGCAGGCCAGGATGGTGGAGACGCCCGGGAGGAAGAAGTGGCGACAGAAGAGGAGGCAGTGACGGCTAAGCAAGCGCGCATCAAGGTCAGCATCGCCAAATCCACTGGCAGGCTGGACCTCAGCGAGTGTGGCCTTACATCAGTCCCTCCTGAGGTCTTTGACGTGTCAGACTTGAGGGACCTGTCCCTTGCCGGGAACAGGATTTGGGAGCTCCCTCGGGAAATCGGCCAGCTGACGTGCCTGGAGAGGCTTGTGCTTGCCGGCAACTTGCTGAAGGTGGTGCCCGATGAGATCGGCAAGCTGATGCAGCTGGAGGGCCTGTGGATCCATGGCAACCTGTTGGAGATGCTCCCAGACAGCATCAGCAACCTGACAAGGCTGGCAAAGTGCTCCTTGGCTGGCAACCGCCTGGCAGCGCTGCCGCCGGGCTTTGGACTGCTGCGTAGCCTGCAGCAGCTGGACGTCAGTGGCAATCAGCTGGTGAGCCTGCCGGACTCGCTCTGTTCTCTGCAGGACCTCCGTGTGTTGAGCTTGCACGGCAACCAACTGCGGGACCTCCCGAAGTCTTTCGGCGACCTCTTGGGGCTGGAGGAGCTGTCACTGCAAGGAAACTGCCTAACCACTGTGGCTGACCTGCCCAGAAACCTGAGGAACCTCAGCCTGGCAGACAACCTCCTTACGTGCTTCGGATCGCATCCTGGACGCCTAGAAAACCTCATGGAGCTGAAGAGCGTGAGTTTGTACGGAAACCAGCTGCAGGATGTTCCGCCAGGTTTGCTGGCCCTTCCCAAGCTGAAATCCATTTGGCTGGAAGGCAACCCCTTGGCGGAAGATGCAATGGATCAGATAAGCAGTCCATCACAGTGGGGTCCCAGCCTCAAATCTGTGGGTCTGGATCAAAATCAGTTTCCAGTCTTAAAGGCCCAGGCATGGCAGCAATCAGGCACAGTGCTGAAATTCAGCAAGTGTTCGCAATCCACATATGGCTATTTCAAGCTTGCATCTGTTGATGGCCACAATGGAGCAGCCAGACAGCCCTCCTCCAATGGGGTCTCAACTGCAAGCATGCTGGTCGTCGCGTTTGGCAGCGCACCGGGAGTTCCAAATTGGGGTGGCCTTTTGAAACGGGTGCAGTCAAAGATCGCAGCCTCTGAAGAGGACCTTAGGTCAGTCACCTTTGACACACTCTTTGTGGTGGACCCTAAGCGTTCGTGGTATGGAGCCTCTGAAAGTGACGATGGCATGCTCAATCACTACAGGCGCAATTTGCAGGCAGTGACGTCTCGATATGACCATGTTGTGATGATTGGAGACTCGATGGGTGCTTCTGGGGCCTTGCTGTTTGCCTCCCTAGCCACATCTGTGCTTGCTTTCTGCCCTCAAGTGGACTTGTCTTCCAGCTCAATACGCCCTGCCAGCGGACAGGAGGGTTGGGCCAGGTTCAAGGACAGGGTGTTGGAGGGAGTGGGTCAGTCTTCGGCCAGCGTGACAGTACTGAGTGGGAGCTGGGAGCATGACATGGAGCAGGTGCGGCAGCTGCCTCAGGAGCAGATCAACTGGAAGGTTTTCCATGTGGATACGCACCGGCTGGCGATCCACTTGGAGAATGCTGGTCGCCTGGTGCCTCTGGTGTTGGGTGCGCTGGCTGAGGAGGTTAAGGTGCCGTCGGGGACCACCAGAGCTGCGAACATGCTCTAGGGGTTGTGGCACATTATGTGTAAAGGGCTGAACTGCAGGCTTGTATTACTTTGGACAGCCTATGGTGTGGAAATTGGGAAAGCTCTGAACCATCGCTGGTGCAAATTGGTCTGCTGCAGATTCTTGGGAGCTGAAGCACAGGTTGCAAGTGTTCCTGGAGCAGTTTCACTGGTCATTGGTGCATCAGCGGCTCATTGAGTCTTGCGCAATCAATTCAGGGTGCTATGGATTGTGGCCAAGTCACTTGTTTGATGCTCGGGGCCGTCTTCGGTCAGTTTCCAGCAGTTTGGAGATGGACCTATTGGTTGAATGTCCACCATTCTTGTAATGCTTTTTCATGTGGTCTATTTGTAGCCATGTGTGACAGTGATGGAAATTTTCATGGTAGGGATGGAACGCTTGCGGCGCTGCTCTCTGAGTCATTGCTTTTAGCTCAGTGAGGTGCTGGCAAGGGCGTGTATTGCACAGGAGCGCCATGCAGCTGCGGCTGTGGCTACACGTGCGTATCTGTGTCGTCGCTGCCAAGCGATGCAGCCAGAAGAAAGTGCCGTCATTGAACATGTAATCTGAGTAACATTTGAGCAAACTGAGGTTGTACAGTTGATCCCTATCCATACCTTGCATCTAGATCATCATCTGGAAAACATTCATCACTATCAACTTTCTCCTGTTTGTTTCCCTGTCCCTTTTCCATAATCCTTCGAATATGTAATTGTCCTTCGATGTGTGAAAATTTCGTAGCCTGCATGTGGAGTGCTGTGTATTGGCTGGCACCCATGGGCAGTCTGAAATTTGCCCAGATGCGTGATCATCTGGGCACCTGAACGCAAATGCCATATGGCAGAGCTTCGCGCACCATTGGCAGGATGGCGCTGGCTGCTGGCTGACATGTGTACCTGCTATGTTCATTGCTTTTTGATAAGCAGATTGCTGTGATGATTGTTTGCTGTTGGATTGCACAGCGTGCTGCCCTGCAAGAGCACTCAGTAAGCCAGGCATGGGTCCGATTGTATGTCATGTAGTCAAAGTTGTTCAAATACACGCCAAGCGCCCCTGGCTCAACGACACGGCGTTCCCCATACCCTTCAGACGAGTTGTCAGTTTTGCATTGCTATGGTCTTGCGTAACGTGGATCATCATCATATTCCTATTTTGTCCCTTTCTGTTTGTGCCATTGTTTCGATCCCCATTTTTTAGTTAGCTGGCCAACGATGAAGTTCTACCAGCAGCAAATGCTTAGAAATGATGGTCGTCGCCCCTCGATCCAGCCGGGAGACAATTTGTACTGCAGAGATCGTGGCCACGCCATGGCCAGACCTCTCTGGAGGGCAGCAGTGAAGGATAACTTGAATCAGGCGAATGGGGTCGAATCCAAGCGACGAAACGGCCAGAAATGCACAGGCCGAATATCTCACATCAGTCGTACACAGGGCCTGAGTTCCTCCCTCGAAAGGGATGCTCACTTGGCCTCGCAGGTCCTCTCCTCAGCCAGTGAGGAGGCCTGGCTGGCTGCAGCGGCCATAACCAAAACGAGTTACAGACCGAGAGCAGCCTACATTGCCAGGTCGTCGGATTATATATAAGTTTGCATTTGTTCTTGTCCACATATCCCACAAAATATGCTCTAGAAGATTCCCCACTATCCGTCGTGTAATGCCTCTTGTTATTCATATCAGAACTTTTCAACACTTAAAGTCCCATCACCGTACAGCCCCTATGGGCCGCCCAAATCCAACCAAATCCTCCACCTAGTGTCCAGTCACACCCCATGCTCCATAAAGTACATATTGGATAATGATTATCATTAGATTTTTTTCACTTGAAGTTCCGCTGAACCCTAATGCTATCACATTGCCACCGCTGACTTAGAAGGTACCGAATCCGTGCCACCCAAGGCATTACAACCATGACAGCGTGACCATCGAAGATCTGGCTAGACAGGCCCAGTATTGCGTGGCAATGCGCAACAGGGGGTGAGAGAAGCCTGCCAGTGCGGGCGCTCGAAGGCCATTAAGCCGGGACCCAACACCGGACCCCAAGTACTACGTACTTGGGGCCACACCCGAGCGCCGGTATCTGGGGGTACCCCAGGTACCGGTGGCCACCGCCCTAGTACCGGTGTAGCAACTCTAACCCCTACACTATCGTAACCGTAGCCCTACTGGGCTGGTTATCGTAGGGGGTTGTCGATACCCCCCGGGTACCGGTTAGTACGGTACACCCAGATTCGTGCATATCTCATCACAAGCTAACCTATTTTCAAGGCTACGGCTGACAGCAGTCTCCACTGTTCCTAAAATACTTTATTTACTGTTCCTTTCCAACTATACATGGTCCTTTAGTCCAAAAAGTATCAAAACACTATTGGAAACGAAGGTTGTTTTCTAGGGTCCACTTATTTTGTTCTTCTTAGGGCCCCAAATTCCTCAAAATTTCGCAAAAAAACACAAATTTGGTATCACTGATTCGCAAATTAAATTTGTAATTGATTTGTATCATCAGGACCTTATAATAACGCCATTTAGAATATAATAAAACCCCTGGCCTGATTCCAGTCAAACACCCACATGCCAGGCCTCGCACAATAGCCTAGTATACAGAGCGATGTGATAGCGCCCGATCCCTGCCCGATATGAGTATATATCGCAAATCCCCCGGGGCATCCCACTGAGTCAGCGCTCAGCGGTACAGGCGCCCCCCACCATCCCACTCTCTGCACTCGCACCACCTTGCACCCCCTCCGGCCTGCCATCGGGTCGGCACGTTTCCTTGAGGCACACTCCGCGAGCAACACCCCCCGGCAGGGTTGGGTGTAAGGGCCCCCTCCGTGGAATGGCCTATTCACTTTTCCTGGAAAGATCTTCCCCGTTTTGGAAACGCATCCGGACCGCCCCGTCCGTGGATCCCACATCTATTTCCGGGGGTTGCTCTCCCTTGAGCGCCCCTCCGTAAGTGTGTTGCCCGGGCAGATTGGAAACTTTGCTCCTTGCCTCCTGAACCCCCCGACCACTTGTGAGCAATCCCTTTGGGATTGTCTTTGCCGCCGTGCAGTTGCGACCCTCTCCGTGGAGCCCCATGGGTTCCCATGGGCTGAGCTACCTGAACAATGGGCATTGCTCCAGTTTTTCAACGCAAGGCCCATCGGTATGTGCCCCTGGTCCATTCGGGTCGGTCGCTTGACACTCGCCTAGTGTCTCGGCCAGTCGCTGGGCATGCGGGTGCCTAGTGTCGGGTGCGAGCCTCACAGGCCATGGTGCTTCCTGGGTGCTTCCCGCGCAGTGGATGAATAGCAGGGCAGGATTACGTGGCAGTTGTCCATTTATTGGCGTACATCTGGGCCCTGACGGCCTATGTGGGTTCCATGTGGCCTCATGGCGAGTTGCTTGAGGGGTATCCCTCCGGTCTATTTGCAAATTGTCGACCGAGGCCACACCGGCCTGGAATCTTGGGGCTCACGGGGCACAAGCTTGGTAATATTCATGTAATATTTCATGTGGCATGGCAGCCATCTATTCATATAGATTGGCTTTATTTATTGGTGCCCCGAACACAACGAAAATTGTTGTTGTTGTGGATGAATTATCTTTAATATTCATCCACAACAAAGTTTTTGCCTGGGAATCCTCACAGCAGACTGACGATGTAGCATGCACCCTGATCCAAGAGCCAGTGCAAGTCTAGTGCCCATTTCGCATTTGCTGTGGTGCGTTTTGCATGCGCAGCAAATGCGACACATTCACTAAAGCCAGTATACTGTGTAGGACATTGTGAACCAGGGCACGCTCTCCTTAGCCAATGCACAACGCCGGACAAATCAGGAGGTCCATAACATGGCAGCATATGCGATTGACCGATAAAGAATCCGAAGATACTTCCAATCCCAGAATGGAAACCGAAGTGGGAACTGCAAGAAGGTTTATGCATCGTTGAGCCCGCATTCAGTAGTGTTGCTGTGAATTTCCCTGCCCTCGGCTCGCTTTGATCCGTCGGAAAGGGTGAGTTTGGCTCCCAGCAGAAAATATCACATTGCGAGATAATGTGACGTCACTCGATACAATGGAGGACAAAGGACGTGGGAACCGAAGGGTGCAAATCGATGCCAGATTTAGTTGGCTCTTCATTGCCAAAAGGCGCAGTACATGTCGACAATACTTTCTTGATTCTTTGTTGAAGTTACGGTGCAGCTATGCGCAGCGCATACAGTCAAGAAATAAAACAATTTCGTTCATGAAAATATCAGGGAGGTGGCCATCAGCTTCCGTCAAGATCATGGTATTTCTATAGACGCACCCAGAAATCCAAAAAGATTCTCACCCGCCTCCAAATTTCCCCAATTTCCCCAACACTTCACGAACCGCAACTGACCCGACGAGCTGGTCAAGACAGGCCGCGGATAATTCTGCTGCCACTGCAGGAATTCACACAGCATCCCTTCAGTCAAACCCCTCAACAACTGGCGTTGAAGCAACCCATACTTTGCTCGACAGTTTGCAACATGGCTGTCAAGACACAAGTTACCACAATGGCACTGACCCCACTCTTGGGACTGGCGGCATTGCCAACGCTACTCTTCAGCCACGGCGACTCCAACAATGCATGGCACCACTTCTCCTGTGGTTACGAACGATTTCTGTGCGGCTAAGCGATCGTGCACGGGGAACGCTGCCTGTTGATGTTGCTCAGTCAGAATGGTAAGGGCCCGTGCATGAACATGTGTGTCCTCAAAGATAGGGAGTATTCGACGAGACACAAGGATTGCAGACCCTAGGTCTGACGCTCCGAACATCTTCTACGGTAGCCAAGTATAGCCATAGGGCGCATAATGCTGGTGGCAGCATGCGTCAGGTTTATGCGCCCTTGCGTTTCGCATATATGGTCTTGCGCATTTTCACATAGTCTGAATGCATCATCACCATCATTCATTTTTACAGACAAAGGCAAGGAAGTTGCCGTCATCGCCATCAAGAATTCTTACATGCCGAGGCGAGAAGGCAGTCATC